GCTTTTAGATACATGTGCAAATGAGTGTTGACAACTATTAGACAAAGAAAATTTAACGAGAAATAAATAATCATAGCATACTGAAGGAAAAAACAACGTTTTTGTACGAGCCAGCATGCATCTTAGAAAAAAACTGGAATTTTGTATGTTAATGTAAATTCGCTTTAGTAGTTTTAGTTATCGTAAATACGACTTTCTTATTTGAAATATGAGACTTCATTGAGTTCTATCAATTTGCGACTACACACAGGGGATATTTTGGCACGTATATATATATAATGTATTTTTGATTAACACGTAAAAGCAGCAGATGAGATTATCTGTTAAACTAAGAGTTGTACATAATTTCGTATGTTTTAGAGAAAAATCAAAAAATATGTGTTTGCATGAATGCATATATGATTGTCTTGAATTTACGCATAAAAATTACCAATATTTCTAATAAACCGCATAAACATGAATGATATAAGATGATTTGAAAAAATATTTTAGAAGAATAATACATATTTTTTCTCAGCATTTTCCATTTTATTACCTGTGAATAGGTTGTTGGTGTTCTTATGTAAACTTTTCGTTGAAGTTTATTTGATTGAAAAACATTTTTATTATTTATGAACAAATAAAGTAAATAAGTAAAGGCGCTCTCATTAATCAACTAGAAAAAAACGAAAGTATGCAATTAATTATCGCTATCATATTATTTTTCTTCCATCTATGTCAAAATATTAAATCCATAGAAGATCAAAGAGAACAAAAAGAATGTACCTGCGAATGTTGTTTAGATGATAATGAAAATTGTATACCAACATTCCGATCGGCTCTTAATATAAATCCATTATTAGGATGTAATAGTACAACATGTAACCAACAATCATGTTTAACATTTTCTCAATGTTCAATTGCATTTGGGTATCGATTTTGGTCTTTTTTTGTTTTAAATAAATTCATTTTGTATTTTTCTTTATTTAGAAAGACTGTAGCATCGTGTCACAATAAAATGATTTTTTCATCATCGACGACACGAACAGGAGTTGCGAGCTCTTCTGTTCATATGATTCTAATCCTCAGAACTTTAATTTCATGACGTTAAGATTGTCTTTTATCTGTTATGCTTTTGAAAAAATTCACACTTTAATTAAATTTAGATATCTGAACAAAATTAAATGCCATTTAAAAGCGATAAGAATATTCAAAAATAATTCTATTTGAAAGAAAAACGGGTAATATTTGCTTTTGTTACTGCAAAAAGAAATATTTTCCCAAGAGAACTTTTTATAGCTGCTCAGATAGAAGTCACTATGCTTATAATTGTACTAACGTGACAACTGTTATTTTAATATTATGCTAAATGATATTGCAGGTAGCATTTGCTTACTATATTTCATCTCTAGGGAAAACAAATGTACCAGTCTTGCTATTTTCTTACATACATATAGCAAAGTTCGAAAAAGAACTACTCGAACAAATACTATTTTGAATCTAACAAATCCAGCAAATGATAGATCAAATAGAAATAAATCTTATTGATTTTCATTAAGTTCAACTAATACATATCAACAAGAAATTGAGAAAAAAAATCGACATATATTCCAGTTGTAGATATTATTTTAATGGAATGGTGAACACATGTCTACAAAAAAATATGAAATATGACAAACAGTACAAGAAAATCTAAAAGTCAAACTTGATTATGGTCATCGAATGAAAGAATGTCTTCATGAAACATTTAATCATTTCGATGTAGTTTTATTAACGATATGTATCAACTACAATAAATGATTCCAGCTTCTGAAAGTAAGTGAGTTTC